CAACCAATGAAAAAGAGAGATCAGTAACCATGGCTCAACCAATGAAATAGAGGGATCAGCAACTATGGCTCAACCAATGAAAAGAGAGATCAGTAACCATGGCTTAACCAATGAAAAAGAGAGATCAGTAACCATGGCTCAACCAATGAAAAAGAGAGATCAGTAACCATGGCGTAACCAATGAAAAGAGAGATCAGTAACCCATGACCCACTCTTGTATGTATGTAACTATGTTTTAACGGTCTAGATGCAGACAAACACTCAGCACACTCAAGATATACATAGCTGGGAGTGGTAAAATTATGACCCTCAGGTTTCTGGCCATGATTCAGGACTTTGAAAAGCGAAGCGGGTGCGGGTGGGTGTAAATGTGTGGGTGCACGCATGTGTGTGTGTGAGGGGGGGGGGATGAAGGGGGGGGGGGGTAGTGGTTCACTATGATTACAGTGTAATACATCAAGAAACTTGCTATGCATTCCGGCAGACCATCACATCTCATTGAATTGAGAAAATGTAGAAATCAATTGCCTAGCTTGTTCAGGTTGACAGGAACTATCTCCGTGTTTGCATGTGCACATTAGACGAAGCCTTGTAGGGTCCTCTTCCGTTTCCACTATAACTGAAGTATTTGTGTGGAAGTCTGAAGAAGATGTTGGACGGTCTCTGCTTGAATGACAGCTATACCATAACTCAATGCTTAGAGCGTAGCTGTCCTCCAGCGAAGGTCCCTGGTTCAACTCCTGGTGGTCACAGTCTAAGTTTTGTTCAGACTTTTCCCGCCTGCATCTTTCCCTGAAAACCATTGGATATTCGTGTATTGTAGAAACTTATTATATTGTGCCTGGTCTGTGTCGTGTTCTTTCTTGTGTCACTTACAGTTTAGACTGGTGAAGATCTGAAACACGGAATACAAGCCATGAATAATTTCTACGCACAGTTCAGTATCAGCCATCGTCACCACCCATGACCGTAGCACACCCACCCGGTCCGGCTCATTTCGAAAACGCCGACACACGGAATACGTGCACAATGGGGATCTTCATTGATGGTGTTCGTTTCTGGTCGTGTATACCATTAATTTTGGTCAGCCCACCTAAAATCCTGGTGCTACAACGCTGCCACGAATCCTGATAGCTCACTATCAACCATCGACGTGTGCTGCCAGCAATGACTTTGTCTATGCGTCGGAATGCATCCATCCACCACGTTGGTGTTTCCTTCATCTTCAAGACGTAGATGCAGTATACTACATGAACAGATATTGTACACATTACGGTACAACATGAATTACTCCAAAGTGTAGTGCAACGGTATTTGACCCTTCGTTGTGACTTCATTATCCACGCCTGCATAAATGAACCCTGAAGCAATCTCTTGCAATGCATCCAGCTCTGTTCTAAGACCTTCATTCAACCTTTTAATCAGCTAAACCGACCACTCTACTTCTGGGACATTTGAACTGCTATTTTATAAAATTTACGAGTTATGACTAGTTTTTCACCATAATTAAATTGGCTCACCATCCGAGCTATTTTATAAGCTTGTGAAGAAGAGGTAGCGACTTCGGTGATCATTGAGCAATTCTTGAGGAATACACACAATTCCCTTCTTTAGCGAGAACAATTCCTTTAAAGTTTTCACTAATGTTTCAGTATGCATAAATATTCACTGGTCTTGTGTGTGTTTGTGTGTGCGTGCGCGCACGCGCGTACGTGGGTGTGTGTGCGTGCGTGGTGAACTAAGTTCATCAGCCTTGCAAGCTGTTGACTGGTGTAATCCCAGCACAAGTTGTATGTCTGATTAAGTTGTTCGCTAGTATCGCTTCAGCGATGGGCATGTCTGAGTCTGAGCCTGCGAGTGTGCATGTGTGTGTGTGTGTGTGTTTGTGTTTGCATGTGATAACAGAAGAGCAGACGTTTCTGATAGGTGCAAATCTGTAATGTACATACATGCGATGAACATGTTCTGCATTTCATCGCTTGCATAGGTGTGAAGTTGCCACCACTCTCCAGAAAGGACTATAAAAGAAAAGTATCGATAGGATGGTGGGTGGGGATCGACTCAGCTTCTTGAGAGAATCTATGTACAAAAATCTCGTGAAAAACTCAAAAAGAAGACCAGTGCTCTGTATTTCTTCTTCGAGTTCTTATTGTGCCTTCTTGTAGATGTTTTGCTCTAGGCATGTTTGTGTAATGGCTGTCAGATTCCTTTAAAGTTTCTGCTGAGACATATCACTAGACATGCATGCAAGGCTGTAAACATAGAAATACCAACCTGCACTATGAAGTAGAATTCCAGGCACACACACCACGTGACATCACATGACTCCATTCACAGTCCCTGCTGGTCATCATTTCAGTTCTACATAGTCATTGCACTCGAGTCCTGTAGCGAGTCAGTCTAGTGACATCATTACCTCCACCCTGACGTCATAGTGATGTCATTATGCATCATGTTGTAATTCATTCTATGACTATGATCACCATGTAACGTGTCACTGCAATGTACATGTACATGGGAGTGCTGTAGATGTTGTGGCAGGTGAAGAAAAAAGTTACACGTAGCCAGACTCGAACTCACCTGCACTTTTCCATTACCAATCCTTTGAATCACGAACTTGACCACTCGGCCACACATCCCAATGTTGTCAACATCTTACCTCAAGAGATACTTCAATTTTTACTCTACATACCTCGGGAAACGCCCCAAGTAATCAGTGTCCGACCACGGGAGATCATGGCACCCCCCCCCCCCCCCGCCCCAAACACAGACACAACACACAGACATAACACACGCTGACAGACACAGTTTCAACTTGTGATTCGGCAAAATCCTGCTTCCGACACGACGACTCCCCCCATTTCCACACCAATGAATTGAATACAGTGTAACCCAATACACCACACAACCACATTGCGCTTTTCGCCGATCCAAACTCTGCACTCATATCACCACATTGCGCTCTTGGCCGATCCAAACTCTGCACTCACATCACCATCACCACAGCGAGGACAATTCCGGTACATAGATTGATATTGACAATGACCCTCCAGACAGCCGTTTCGCTCCTCCTGAGCTCATCAGTGGAGGCATATGATGTTGAATGAAAGAATAATAAGAATGGACTGATCTTTATAGGGCTAAATTGGCGCAATTGCGCTCATTCTGCATAGAAACGTGGCATACCCTAAGTGACAAAAATGACAAAAGTGATAACAAGGTCAGGTGATAACGGCACGCGCTCATTCTTCTCAACTTGTTAACATAACATTACATCATTATGCAATATGCAATGGCTGGTACTTCAGAGTCCGCTCGAAAAGCAGCATACAATCATGTATTGTACAGGTATGCAACACACAGCTGAGCACTCTGACAGTCTGACAGTCTGAGCAAGGCCGGGTACGCGGATTAGCGGGTCTGACAAGGGATGAGCTCGAAAATTACAGGGAATCTGTTGCCCAGTACCAATTGCTGTCTCTCAGGTGTGGGTAGACCTTTGTCTTGAATGACTGAAAACGTGTTTTGTGCGGGCGCTGCGACAGCAGCCTGTCAGGAAGGGAGTTCCATGCGCCAATACAGCAGTACGGGAACGACTGCTTCACGACGGATGGAGCTGAGACAGGGAGCTTGTCTGACAGTTGAAAGGCGTGGCTAGTGGCATTATTGTGCTCGTTCCTGGTTCTGGTTCTGGCTGGAGAAACACGACGCGGTGGCAATACAGCAAGTAGCTGAGGAGGACCAGTGATTAATGCAATTTGTACATGCACGAGACCGGAAAGAGCAGCAACAGTCCAGCAGACAGCCAGACTGGGGAGAATTGCACTAGGGCCAATGATCCGCAGTGCGCGGCGTTGAACACTATCCAGACGTTGTGTCGTCTATCTGCTCGCTATCCCTATCCTGGTACTGCTTCCATGAGACGGGTCAAGTCGATTGATGGATCTTAGCCTTCTCCTTCTGCTGCTCGCTGCGGCGATGTCGTTCCGAAGCATTTTGACTTCATGCTCTTTTTGGCACCACTACAAGGTGGCACACTTCACAAAACAACTTTCCAGTAAAGATGGTCGGAAACTATTGAGGGAGCTCCGTAACTCTAGCGGCAGGGCTGATATGCAAAACCTTCTTATAATGTTTTTTTCCTTGAGTCAGTCTTGTCCTGGTTTGCATTGGCTCTGAGGTCCGCTCAAATAATCCTGTACGCGATATTCAAGCTCCTAACCATTTCGGCAAATTTTCTGGTTCACTTTCATCCAACGGGACTCTGACACATTTTCAACCATTTCATATGACTCGTCACCATCATAACTACGTCCGTCATCATCCATACCTGACCGCTGCTGCTAAATCATGGCCACTAGAACTGAAGTGGAAGGAAGATCGACTAAAGTGAATATCATTTTCTTTCGAAATGAATAACATAAGCAAAGGTGATGAAGTACAGGTTTACTAGGAGTGAAACCTAGAAGGTTGTGTACTAGCTACTGCGTCGGGAATTGACTACCCAAACCACGTGACTTGCAACTGTACATGTAGCATTTTGACCTCGCAACAACACAATCATGATTGTCGCGAGATCTTGTCCTGAACTAAGTACATGTAGTGTCTTTACTGACTTTAGCGGATAAACATGCTCTGTTGATCTAGCAGCAGTGGATCTGGATACAGCTAGCTGCGAATAGGTAGACAGTGTAGATCTACATGACGTGCTGCAGAATCTGATGTAAGTCGCACACTCGCGATAAGTCGCACATTTTCTGTTCCAGGACAGACACGGTGCGCGACTTATGCCAGTTATGGCGATTACATGTACCTACTCAACATGCACATGGACATCTCCCAATCAGGTCACAAGTGACCATGGTGACCCAGTGTTCTTTTTTCAAACGGGTCCAAGTACTCCCCCCCCCCCCACCACCACCAAACGGGTCCTTCGCCCGGCTGACTCGGCCCTGGAGCAGACACTGGAGTCAGTGACTATGAACAATGCAAGTCTAGAA